AAGGTGGGTGGATGGCTTGAGTTTAAAAGTTCAAGACCAGCCTGAGCTGGAGTGAGACTTTGTCTCTACTAAAAATGGAAAGCTGGGTGTTGTGAAAGTCCCCTGTAGTCCCAGCTACTTGTGAGGCTGAAGCAAAAGGTATCAATTGAGCCCAACATATACATTTTGGGGAAAAAATCATGGAGTTATAGGGAATGATTAAGCCATGTAAAAGAGTGAGACTCCAAAAAGTTTCACTGATATAACAGGGAAACATGACTACTAAATTATTCGCAACTGTGCACTGGTTAACTTTTGAATCATTCTGGACAGCATTTCCCCAACCACCATTCATAAAGTCAGCAACACAGATTCTGTAAACTCACCTAGTTGAAATAATAGTTCTCTAACTTTTTAAGGAAATTGCAAACTATTAATGTAACCTTATAAAGATAGGAAAGGAAATACAGAAATACTAATTTAAATTAATACTTTTTGGTAAAGTTTTAAGTATTTTTTTAAAAGGAAGTCTTGGCTTGTTGTGAAAATTTTCATCTGCTTTTAAATTACTCGAAACTTATTGTGTGGGATTTTCAAGACAAGTTTACAAGAAACTGACTAAAATTCGAATCAATGTTTATTTAAATGGTTAAATCTGATTTATTAAATGTATAAGTTTTGCTTTATTAGCTACTTAAATGGTGTACTAATGTTAAGGAAAATTGCATTTATTAGAGTTGTATGCTTAATAAATTGGGCAAGAATAAATAGCAGCAAACATATTTCCTAGACTTAAGTCTTTCAGGCAAAGCATACTTAGAGATGCCTTGTATAGTGATACAGACATGGCAGGTGCCCACAATTTGATACACATTGCTATTCTAGGGACTTTAATTTTTATTTCATTTCATCTTCTGAATGTAAGTTATAAAGTATCAATGATGGATAAAATACTCCTTTCATTATCTTGATTTCTAAGTCTGATCTAGCTTCACCTCACTACAGCATGTGTATCCTGGTGCAGAAAATTGTAGCTGTTTATTCCAGCTTACTCTCAAGTCAGTGCTGACCACTTCTTACTTCCATAACCGCTATACTAGGGATCCTCTCTGTCTCTCTCTCTCTTTTATTTGAGACAGAGTCTCACTATGTCACCCTTGGTAGAGTGCTGTAGCATCACAGCTCACAGCAACCTCAAACTCTTGGGCTTAAGCAATTCTCTGCCTCAGCCTCCCAAGTTAACTGGGACTACAGGCACCCACCACAACACCCAGCTATCTTTTGTTGCAGTTGTCATTGTTGTTTAGCTGGCTTGGGCCAGTTTCGAACCCATCAGCCTTGGTGTATGTGTTTGGCACTATAACCACTGTGCTACAGGCACTGAGCCTCGGGATCCTCTATTCTTGGTACCCTGGATTTTCAGGTACAAAGAAAAGTCTTCATGGTATGGTTGAAATAAAGAACTCCCAAAGAGTTCTTGAAAAATATGATCACTAGATCACTAGAAAAATATAATCACTCTCATTCCTAATTTTCATCTTTAAAGGTGACACTAGCTTTTAAATATTTAGAATTTTTGCTCAAGCATGAGTAACTCTTTCCAGTTCTTGGCTATTCCCAGGGACTACCAAACAACAATAGTATCAATAACAGTGACAGCCCTACAAGAAATGATACAGTGGGGTGGTTCAGCACGAGACTCAGCAAATCTGTGTTAAAAATCTCAGACCCATTGCTTACTAGCTATCTGACTTTGGGCCAGCTAAGTAATCTAACTGTCCTTTTACTTAAAAATCATAAAATAGGGGTTATATACTGTCTATGTCATAGGGATGTTGTGGAAATTATGTAAGTGTGGAAAACTACCTATGGTAAGTAGTCAGTAAATGTCAGCTATTATTATGAAAAACTATTGAAGATGGGTCATATGGTAATGTTACATGTTACAAATGGATTGTTTTGTTAATCCTTTAGTTGAGTGGTGGTCCCCAACCTTTTTGGTACCCAGGATGGTTTCATAGAAGACAATTTTTCCATGGATCAGGAATTGGGGGTGGTAGTGGTAAGGGAAGGTTTCAAGAGAATTATATCTCCATGTCAGATCATCAGGCATTAGATTACCTTAAGGCAGCTCAACCTGTGGGTCGCAACCCCAAACCCCTTTCACAGGGGTCGCCTAAGACCATCCTGCATATTAGATATTTACATTATGATTCATAACAGTAGCAAAATTACAGTTATGAAGTAGCAACGAAAATATTTTTATGGTTGGGGGTCACCACAACATGAAGAACTGTATTAAAGAGCTGCAGCATTAGAAAGGTTGAGAACCACTGCCTTAAGGAGTATTCAACGTAGATCCCTCACATCACGGTTTACAGTGGGGTTTGTGCTCCTATGAGAATCTGACAGGAGGCAGAGCTCAGGTGGTGATGTAAGCAAGGGGGAGTGGCTGTGAATACAGAAGAAGCTCCACTCAACTTACCTGCCCTGCTGTGTGGCCTGGTTCCTTATAGGCCACAGACCAGTATCAGTCTGCAGCCTGGGTGGGAGTTAGGAACTGCAGCTTTAGCTGATTTAAAGTCTTCTCCAGAGACTGGAGTAAAAAGAGATGTGGGTGATCTATTATCTATATGTTTCTTACTCCCACTTCTCTTTGCAATGTGTCCACTACATTTGGTATAGTTAATGGCAACCACCTTGCCCATAAAGCCAAAGCATTCTATAATCAGCTCTGCTACACAATTTCGTGAGTATTCAGCTCCTCCGTCCAGAATATCAATTGTGTAAAAAGTGCAGTGAATTCCAATTCACTTTCGGTTGCAAGGATCTGAACCAAACACAAAACCTAGTTGATCCAAGATAATATGTTCTTTATAATTTTGTGCATTATGTGATCACGCCCCAAATAGGAGTATCTTTGAATTTAACATATTTTCCTTTTTGGAGTACAGAATTCTTTTAATTAAAAACATTTTTAAAAAGTTCAGTATGTGTAATTGTTAACACCTGCTGTGTGTTACCAACAGATGTTTCTTACTTACCTAAGGGAACTGTTATAATTATGCTATAAGCTTATTGGAATGGCATTTACCACGATAGCTGGGAAAGTTTAGTTGGTGACTTTGTATGTACTAGTTGGTATTTCTTTAAATCCCTTTTCTTATTTCTGTCAGTCACCACAAACTCATCCCAAACCAGCCTACAAAAAGCAAAAACTGTCATTTTGGGGTAACAAAATTTACGAAACTGGCAACGATCATGCTTTTGTTAGTTTCCCCGAAAAGTTACTAAAATTAAATCATGTGTATACTAAAAGCATTGTACAATTTACTTTTAGTATCTAATCCTTCTCTTGTGCAACTTGAAATTCTTTAATCTTGATTATAAAAGTTAAAAAAATACCGTTTAGAAAGATAACAGACCTTCTAATAGCTTGGCTTCAAAGGAAGCCATAGTCAAAATGAGAGTTTTCTTTATTTTTTCTGGTCATTGATAAGGTCTCCTAAGCAGTCGGCTTTCTAAATCCTTCCTTTGTGATACTAATCACACAATTACTTACAGCCATGTGTTAAATATGACACTGGTTTCAGCCAAATAATGGGCCAATTGGAAACAATGAATAAAGAGGCAGCTCCATTTATAACCACTGTTTCCACAGAGCTCTATTGTAATCCTAGTGATCTGAGGGTGACTCATTAATTAATTGATGTTCTTTTTTATTATGTGCTATTGAGTTAATGAGTAATTTGTGAGACATAATTCTCTGAACACATTGATTACTTGAGATATTTTCCGGGGCTTTCACCAGTGACATGCTGAAGAGGTAGATGGTATTTGCTTCTGTTGGCTCTTTATTAACCAGGCTGAGATGAATAAGAACCAATGCAAAGACGTGTTAAAGTGATCTGATGTAGGAAGCACCCCAAGTCTGCCCAGTGTAGGCTGAGGGATCAGGGAGAGAGACTGGTTGCACAGCAGGCACTCAGGAAAAGTCAAAGGAGGCTGGCTGTGGTGGCTCACGCCTGTAATCCAGCACTGTGGGAAGCTGAGGCAGGAGGATTGGTGGAGCTCAGGAGTTGGAGACCGGCCTGAACAAAAGTGAAATCCTGTCTCTACTAACAATTGAAGAAAGTTAGCTGGGCGTTGTGGTGGGGACCTGTAGTGAGGCTGAGACAGGAGGACATCTGAGCCCAGGAGTCTTAGGTTGCTGTCAGCTAGGCTAATGCCATGGCCTCTAGCCTGGAAAATAGAATGAGACTCTGTCTCAAGAAAAAGTCCAATGAAATAATGACTACATTAAATATGCTTAATATTTAATGCTAAATAGTGCTTTCTATTACCTTACATGCATTCAAATCGCATTTAAAAAATATTTATAATGATGTTTTTAAGAAAAAAGTAATGACCAAAAAGGCTTTTGCAAAAATTATATTTTGTGCTGATGGCCTGTTATCATACAACAAACACGCATGTTGTTTTCACCTCTTACTGGAGTCAACACTAAACATGTTTGGCCTGTCTCATTCCTTGGAGTGGTTTGCCTAAACTAACAGTGGAAAGGACACCACGCATGGCGTGCTTTACTGTGGATGTAATTTTCAGCACCCTCTTTCAGTTAAAGGCACAGCACCGCTTCCTTGCAAATGTAGAATTTAGTTTGTTGTTTTAATTCGTTACACAGCATACAGGAAATTGGAAATGTAGTCTGACAACAGCAATACAGTTGCTTTCAGAAAGATCACTTCAAATTTGTATAAATGTACAAAATTACACCCAGCCATTGCTACCTTCGTTTTTGACAGTTTTATTTTTCCCCATAAAAGTAAATAGCAGTAAACTACCTAGCTCGGAGATCTGAAACACATTATTTAAAGAAAGCATTTGAGAGATTTCACCCGAGCTTGTTATGAGTTTTCCTTGAGAAAGTCAATGTTCTTACGTATCTTTTCCCTTTTTCATGGACTTCGTGTATATGAAATAGATATCATCTCAGATTTTGGCAATTAAGCACAATCAAATAGTATAATACCCCTTTTATTAAAAACATAAATCCAAATATAAAAAGGTGAAAGAATTCAGCAGATATTTATTAAGCAAGATGAAAGCGAAATTACAAACACAGGTCAGCTTTTAAACTCAGCACTCTGGTGTGTGTGTGGGGGGTGCCTGGTCCTCCCCCTTAGCCTATATGAGATGCTAAGGAGGGAGGGATTTCACTGCTTGCGAAATCAAAACAGGTGTCCTATTAGAAGCATCCGATAGCAAGCTAAATGACATCAGGGCTACGCAACACAGAGAGGAAAGTTAACAATTCAGGGGCTTTGAGTAGTCAAGACAATTAGTTTAGTACTGTAGGTAAAAAATGCTACTGTTTATGGACAATTAACTGTAGAAATGGCCTACGGCTGAAATTATTCCCGTCTTGTTCTACAATTCCATAGAGATTAAAAATAATCTAAACAGATTAAGGCCTTAATCTTTAATTCAGGTGAGTAATTTTGTCCGTAGTAAAAAGCGTGAGAGTTAACTCCCGAAGTATTAATTAAGAGAAAAAAGTAGCGAAAAAATCTTGTTTGGGTGGCAAGGACGGTTGAGCAGCTTCGAGAAGCTGAGAGAAGTTTTTCCCCGATTCACAAGTATTTTGACACATCAATAAACATGAAAACCATTTAAATCTAAAAAAAGATCATCTGAGAAAGATACTGACAATTAAAATTTTACATCCACATGAACTTCAAACAGCTATTAATAAGAACGAGCAGGGCTGCGTTATGAAAACCACTTCTCACTTATCTCACCCCTTCCCATTTTCATTTTGTCTTGCTTTGTTTTTGGCTATACGAGTCTTCTCGGAAAACAAATGTAAGGCTCCAAGGCTAAAATGACAGTTCTGTCTGTGGGCCCCAAATAGCTGTTTCTGAAATTCTTCCTTCCATCTACCTCCAACTGGGGGGACATGAGATGTGAACACTCTTGACCATGAGGCGTTTGTAAAAATACATATCATTCACTTTTCACAGAACCATTGTCTTGAAAATAAGAGGCAATATCCAGATTCACATGCAAGTTCATAAGAAAGCATTGTTTTAAAACAGCTCAAATCCACACCAGCATTATAGTCAGCTTCCTATTTTGGCCCCAAACCAAAAATTCAGATATAACATTTAATTTTCTGTAATGCATGTATTGGCGGGAGAAACTATGTATGCAAATAACACCAGAAAACACTGTTTCCTATACAAATGATTGAGAAAAAATAAAGACAAAGAAAAACCATAGCACTATTTGCTATAGTAAAAATATAGTTCATTGTGCCCATGTAGAAGTTGCTTAGTTGAAAAGTATTTTTATTACAGGAAGCAGAAGCAGAGAAGTAAAATGTAAGCAACCCAGAAGAGGGGATCATAGTCTCATTTTTATTTCCTTAATTGTACTTTAAATAATCTTTCTCCATAATTTCTGTTTCTTGAGCTTTCTTCTTTATCTGCTATCATGTAGGTAAAGGGATGTTTCACCTTTAAGAAGTGGAAGGGCAGATTTCAGCCTGTCTGTGATGTTCTAAGTTGGCAATCATTTCGAACAATGAGTAAAGTTAAACACCTCAAACTTAAAGCATTCACTTTTGAACATGAAAATAAACAGCAGGGAAATACCGAAAAATATATAATCACCCCAGTTCTCAGTTTTTTATCAATCCCCTTGTTTCTTCTAGAAGATTCTGCGAGCAAAGTGTTGCTCTGGTCCTAAGTAACTTCACTGTTCAAATGCCTTCATGGCTTCAGTGTGCATTTCCGTGATTTCAATAGATTCACACTCAGATCTTTTCAGTGCCATTCATTTATTAAGCCATAAAGTTATTAAAGCCTTAGCTCTTAGGGAGTGCTGGGTAAAATTTATATAAGAAATTTAATTTACCATTTTAAAATGATCTCATAATTGTGGTAACACTTTTTAAAAGTAACCTTTTGGAAGAATTTTATGCGCTACCCAAAGGCACTGGTTCACATAAGGGGTGTGACTGAAAAAGCAAAGCAAAGTTACCGTGTAGGGAAAGAAAAGGATATTAAAAGGATAACCACTAAGCTTTAAAGTTATTCTAAAAATGGCACTTTTCATGTTGGTATAAAATGAAAGTGCTTTAAGATGAAATTTTTATGCATTTTTTTAAAGCTGATTTTTGACCCCCTGAAAATAGGGGGTGATAACAAGAACACTGATAAGACCCTAAATCATACTGGCAATAAGTAGTGGATGTCACTAAAATGCTTTGTGTGTGTCTTTATCGTTTATTTTTTACTGTTGATAGACTTGCTCTATCTGTCTGTGTATCATTAGTGAGATTTGCTCTTCAGTTCTTTACTAGAAAGTTACAGCTCATTTAAAATAGCTGGTAGATACAGAAAGCATAAATATACATTAAGTGGAAACACTGATTGTACTAAATGCAACAATACAAAGAAGCAAACAGAACACAAATAGTAACACAATAAAACTGTATTACATTTGTGCTTCAAATATTACAATACATTATATACAATAGTCCAAAATAAACATCTCATGCCAAGTGACACAAAAACAAATAGCAAGCAAAAAAATCCAGCAATATGTACATTACTTCTTTTCTTTAATAATAAACATTCAACTCTGAACTGGGGCAATTTCACTACATACAGATGCAGTCCGCCTTTTATTCCATGTAACCATCCTGCTTCCCTATATCTACGCTATTCAGTAGGTTCCTGCGTCAATTCTTATACACATGTGAAGCAAAAAAGATAAAAGAACGTAGTGCTTTGTATTCTTAACGGGGTGATGTTGACAGATCAGCGGACCTGGGGTGCATAACCTTCTTTCATTAAACCTTCCTCGTAGTCCGTCTGGCAAAGGATCATGTTATTCTTTAGGAAAAATTTGTCTCCGACACAAAATCTGAAAATATTTTAAACAATGAAATGTGTTAAGACCATTTCACTCAAACATACAGATAGGAAGATGTATTTCCCTAATAACGGTTCCATATGGTAATTCCCAGAATCTGAAAGCTTGCCTTAGAAAGTTGTCTTCATTATCAAAATTATACCATTTGCCACTTACTTCACTTAAGGAAACATTTCACACAACATTTGAAATCCCAGTTTTAAATATAAAACATTATAGGCAATTGAAGAAAATACTTCGGGCAAAAGGTAACTTTCTGTTCTTTAATATTATTATTATCATTTATTGTATCGGAAAGCAAAAAGAACTGATCTATATTTACACTCATTAAAATAAAAGAAAGAATGATAATATTTCTTTGCAGTGATTATAGAAGATTTTACTGTTGGCCACTTAGGTACTTAATAAAAAAGTACAAGACATTAAAAAGAATCAGACAATTTTAAAAATAGCCCATTTTACCAGGAGTTTGAGGTTGCTGTGAGCTAGGCTGATGCCATAGCTCTCTAGCCCGAGCAACTTAGATTCTCTCTTAAACAACAAAAAGACAAAAATTAAAATTAAAGAAAGAAACATTTTAAAGCTTCCCACTTAAAGCTTCCTTCTACTCTCTTATTCAAAGTAATGAAATCCCTGTCATTTAGAAGTGATCACTTTGAAGTGAAAGTTGCTTTAGCATCATATTCTGATATTGGTCAACATTGTTTTGTTTATGGCAAGTTCACCAACTACTAAATAGATGTCATTGCTTAGAGCACTTCTAATTTAACCAAAGGGAACTTAGATGAACTTAATATTGACATAATAAATAAAACTTGTTTACAATAACTAAACATGCATTTTATTTGATAAAGCTTTGTTTAATGTGTAAGATTGTAATGTTTTTAATAAGCATTCTTTTTGTCTAATTCTCCGTGGTAACACTTTGGACACAATTAAGGTCAGAAATAAATGCTTTTGTGTTTCCGGTACATTTAACAATAAAGTAACTCTGAGGAGATCTGTATATATATTTAATTGTAACAATTTAACCTTCAAACAGTGGCGTCTGGTGGAGTTGACCCAGTAAAACTACTTGTAATTATACAAGTTGACCTCACTGACCTTTGATAGTGGTCTCCCTTTATCAGATAGTCAATTTCAAATGATGTTTGAGCAGAAATCTTAGTGGATAGATTAAACTGTGTAGTGAAAGCCACCCTTTAATGTTTTGTGAAGTTGAAGGTTTAAATGAGGAGCAGTTGGACTGATTTACATTTGCAAAGATTGGAATGCTAGACAAACAGTGAACCTATTTATTTTCCAACTGGGTAGCTTTGGAAATTTATCCTTATACTAGCTAAGCAGATAGAGGGAAAATAGTGTAATAAAAAAAGTAGATTGAAAAGAATTAGCTTTCCTCTTAAAGGAAAATTGGTCTGTTTATTTGTGGAATTTACTTTTTTTCCCCAGGATTACTGCCTGCTGATGATGTTGATTGAAAGCACAGACTCTGTACCGATTTCAAAATCCTGCCGTGGTTTGTGGTCAAAGCTACTGGATACAGTGAACATTCAAGTTTGAGGCTTTAAGTATATTTTCTCTGTATTAGTTGTAAACTGTACACTTTAAATGTTGCCCTTAAAAAGCGGTGTCTGAACAAACCAGTTTTATAGATACCCTGATCACGAAGATAAGGTAAATAAAAGGAAATATTTTCTTTTTTGTTGAACAGGACTATGTAGCTAATAGGTATCTTGCTACCTGTCTATACGCTGTGAAGCAGCATATAGAATATCTTTAACCATTGTTCAAAATCATCCATTTACATTGCTGTTAACATTAATTTTGACTAAGCTAATAATAAAATATCACATCAAAAATAAATTCGATAAATCACTCTTATGTTCCCACTGATGTTACTGAATCATTTTTGTCTTTAAAAAAAGGTAATCTGGAAATACTCTTTTACAACTCTCACTTTGTCTAAAATTTTGCTTTGCCTTTTTCATCAAGAAATAAAACCCTATTAATCATGAAACAAAAAACACTTTGTTATGTCATTGCATGTCATTATTACCTTTAGAAAAATGTATAGATGAATACATTTTAAGATTATATGTGGATCAATAAATTCAAGGCAATCAGAGTGAGAAACACATGGAACCAAGAGTCTGGGGATCCCTTACTAACCGTATCTCAGCTCCCCGTGTGTAAGTGAAAAAGAGGATTTTTGCTGACTGACATCGGGAGGTTCAAGTGAAAAGCACGTGAAGGCAGAGAGGTACATTGTAAGGAGTAAGGTTCAAATCCCAGGCTTCCACTTACAATATTTGAAGATAAAACTTCAGTTTTGGGGGTGGTGCCTGTGGCTCAGTAGGCAGGACACCAGCCCCATATATCAAGGGTGGGGGGTTCGAATGTGGCCCCGGCCAGCTAAAACAGCAATGAGAATTGCAACAAAAAATAGCCAGGCATTGTGGCAGGTGCCTGTAGTCCCAGCCACTGGGGAGGCGGAGGCAAGAGAATTGTTTAAGCCCAAGAGCTGGTAGCTGTGAGCTGCGATGCCACAGCATTCTACTGAAGGCAACAAAATGAGACACTGTCTCACAAAAAAAAAAAAAAAAAAAGAAAAAAGAAAAAAAAACTTTAGTTTTTCTTATTTTTAAGATCAGTCAATTTTGCAGGTTTGTGGCAAAGAAACGCTGTATGTAAAGTCTTACTTCAATGTTCAAAATGTAGGTAAAACAGTTACCTTCTCTACAGCACTTACTAGGTGCTAACGCTAAGCACACATATACAGAATCTCATTTATTACTTACATCCAACCTAGACAGTAAGGATTATCATCGCCTTCTTCAGAAAAAACACCTAAGGCTCCTGTCCCCAAATTTAAAAAGCCTGCCATGATTCCACAGTTGGAATGTATGCAGCAGAAAAAGAAAAATAACCCAGGTCCCTCTGGGATTCAAGATCTACTTGGAGAAAATAAAGAATAGAGACTACAAGAATGATGGGAAGATTAAATAGTTACACTAAGTTTTTTGTATGACTTTTATTTCTTTACATGACTTGAAATAAGTCTGCCCACCATGAAACGAGTTATTATGTGTGTGTGTCTGTAATATGTACATATATATGAAAGGAGACAGAATATTGATGTAAAATATTCCTACCTGAAATATTTTGTTATTCGTATGGTATCAACTGGATAAAGTATATTTAATGTGCATTTTAGTTTATGCTTCAAGGTCAAGATTAAGCGGAATTTTGGTGAGGAATGTCATACTTCCACAGATGACTCAAATAAAACACCCTTGAAAACTATGGTTAAGAGCAGATTATGACTGGTATGCAATTAAGGTTGCTTTCTCTCTTTAAAGATGTTTCATATATAAACATGAAGAAATAAAAGAAATAGCAAGGCAGATAGTAAGTGCTTAACAAAATAATCTGCAATGTGATTTTGTAAAAAGTACTCATTTCCAATATTATATAACCAGCTCCTAGTACGATTTAGCATTTGCAGAAAAAAAAATTATAAAAGCAGTAATGGCCAGGGGACACTCAAGTACATTAACAGACTGAGCTTAAACTCCTGCAAATAAACAGATAATCTTCCTTGTAATATAATCCTAATTACTCGTGTGTGGTCGTCCAAGGGGTTTTGTCCTCAGTTTTTTTAAATGTTAAAGGAATAAAACTTGCCCCATATGATCATTAAACCATCTGATCTTGCTATCTGGAATTAATAATAGACTTGATTTCAAGATATTTTGGAGTGATTTTAGCTGACTTCATGTGGTCTTCGAGAACTGGGAAGTATAAGAAAAAGGTGCAATGAATAAATCATTCTCATAAAATATGATGCTTAGAGTCGTTTCCAGCAGGTTATCAAAAGGCTGTGCTAAGAAACCTCCATTTGTAACATCCTTTTTAATAAGTTAAAATGTTAACTTAGTCACCTGAGTTTCCTAAGGTTAGTGACTACCAATTAGGATACCAATTTCTATTTCTGCAACACTTTAAAAAGAGGGGGGATCTGATCTACATTTCTAATATCTCTACTTCCCTATTTCGCATGCTCAGTTACTCGAAGATGGAGATTTCTATACAGCACTGTTTCAGTCAGAGGTGAAGGTTAAACACTCACGCCTCCACTATACACTTGTGAACAAATTTACAGCCTCTTCCCACGGACAATATAGTTGTTATCACACATCTCATTCCTGATAATCCTTTCCAAACAAAATTATACTACCCATACCCCAGGTCTTGCTATAAATTATTCAAAGTCTACCGCCCTTTAACTTCACTGTATCTATGCACATTTATATGCTCTTAGAAAATATAAAATACCCAATTGGATAGGCCTGAGTCCAGAGAGTAAAACCAGACTCCCTGGGTTCTAACCGTGAGTAAGCCGTTTTCTAACTGTGTAATCTTGGGCGAGTTACTTAAATTTTCTGTACTTCAGTTTCCTCATTTGTGGAATGAGGCTAATCATACCTAACCCCACACTTATGGGTTAAATGAGTTAACACACGTAAAACACTCAGAGCAGTGTCTGGTGTGTGATCAGTGCTGTATAAGAGTGTATCCTATTTGCTAACGATGATCTTTTCACCTTGACTTAATTGTTCCCTCGCCAGGAATATTCTTCCCTTTGTTCCATGTACTCAGATTTTCTAAATTCTTTAGTTCCCATTCCTTCCATCGACATGGCCACATCGACATATTTATCCTCATCTTTCCTCAAATGCTTATTTATTGGTGTATCATTTACTTTGGTTTTTAACATTACTCATGAATGTGTAACAGGTTTCCAATCTGGACAGCAATTCTGAGGTAAATAACCCTGAGTTATATTTCTTTGGAACCCTTTGTAATACCACCATAAATTGCACTACCACTTAAGCTGGCTGGTCAATAAATATTGGTTAAGATAGATTTATTCCAGGACATAATAGCTTTAAATAAAAAAAATGTGTTTTAGATGAATAATTCACATTTGCATTCATTTTGACTTTTGTCCATTGGCTCCTACCTTTTCCAATTTCATTTCCTCCTGATCCTTGCTCCACCCTCTACTTCTCTGTATCTCTACTAAACTCCCCCTCTAATCGCTGCACATACTGAGCTACCTTTGATCTACTAAGCACATCAAAGGCTTAGACACCTCCTCCATGCCTGTGTATGTCACTATATGTGCCTGGAAAAATTTTTGTCTCTCTGCTCCCCTGATCTCTCATCTTCCCCCAACTGCCACCAGACATACTTCCTATACCTCAGCTAGTTCTAGAGAGTTCTTTCTTAAGACCCAGCACAGCAGCCTTTTGATGCCTCTCTAACATTTCGAGGAGGGCTCTCTCTCCTCTCCGTATAGATTTGTTTAGCATCGATTACACTCTTCTGTAAATCTTTGATGTCTTGTCTCTCCCATGGCTCTGAACACCTCTATGAAAGAAACTAGATTTCATCCTCTTCAGCTTCCACAGAGCCTTACATAGGGCTTTTGTTTTTTAATAAAAGAAAACAAATTGTGGTACAATTCTATGTCTTCAGAAAAAGGTCATTGGAAGTGTGAATTTTTCCCTTTTCTTACAAAACCATCATTTAGGTTTACTGAGTTTTCTATGGAAGAGGTGCTTATTCACCTTTAAGAAATTAACCTATTATGCAAAATTTTCTAATCCTGAATGAGATTCAAGATATCATAAAAAAAAAAAAGCTCAAGTAACTGTATCCTGGTTTCCTTTTCAAATAGAGAAACTTTTAGGAATTCAATGTAGGGTTCGCATTTTTTAGCCCTAGCCCTCCGAACAGGGTAGAGATGACCTGTGAAAGGGACAACTGATCTTAAAAGGTTATTATCACTACTATCTTTTTAAGCATTCAGAAATGCTTTGGATCTTAATGATACTTTGATTTAAAAGATGAAATGACTGCTGAATAATATTCATAAACATTTGTCATTTTACAATTTCAGATGTCAATAAAATTTGCATAAGGGAGAAAGCCTACAAATTATCTATTTGCCTCATGTTTCTCCTGAAAAGGTGCCATACTGTGACAGGTGCAATCCTGTGACAACGATTTGGCTAAGGGAAGCACAGGCTTCTATGGGAGATGGCCTTACTGGAGGGGATTGAAATAAACCTCCAAGTGAAAGGAGAATCTCTTATATTGAAAATGTTTTGTATTCAGGGTAACAAAATCTGTCTGCTTTGCTTGACTGATGAAGATTAGCTTACTTCTTGCACTGAAGAAGTTTGTCTTGTAGGGGCTAAGTGACAAGGCAATAACTAAGTGCTAATTGTGCATAACCAGCACTAAAGATATGCAGTCCCATTATGGCATGTAATAAATGAAGCGCACACAGAAATATATTAGGTACTTTAATAATGATACTAGAATAGTATTTTGCAGCAATAAGAATGTGAACAGTTTTAGAGTCAAAATTTAGGAGTGTTTGTCTTACTTGACTGAGTTCTACTGAGGAGACAGACTTAATTGTGAATGCAACTTTTTATTCCAATGGTGAAATAAAATTGATATACGATTTGTAAATAGCATTAACAGCCTACAATGACTTTGCATCATAATAGAATTTAGGCTGGGTTTAGCACTTGAATGATGTTTTAATTTTCTAAGCAGAACATGGATAAAACAGGTAAGCCTACCTAATAGAAAAACGGACAAAAGGCACATACTGCCTAGTTCCTTAAAAGAAGGAATATCAAAGGGCTACTAGTAATCAAATAAATGCCAATTAAAAAGTGTAATGAGATACCATCTTTCATCTCAAGGTGACAAGGATTTTTTTAAAAAAACAATTCCTAGTGTCAGAGTGAATATGAGGGAATGCATAGATTTGTACACTTCTGCAGTGAGAACAATTTGTATAACTTTTCTGGAGATCCTTTTGGCAAAGTAAAACAGCAGCCTTCAGGCTGTTACCTACTTTGTCTAATTAATTATGATCCTGTGAATTTATCCAGACACAGGTAAGACCTTGTGTTTCTTTATAGAGTCCATATTATATTGATAATACTGATACATGTCTGATGATGGAAAGCTGATTTACACGTGAAGTTCTATCCATAAAACTGAACACCAGAAAGCTTAAAGTATGTTAAGAGAACTTTTAATGGCAGGTAAAAAGGCACACAATATAAAGTGAAAAAGTCCAAATATAGAGCATTTGCATTCTTCCCCGTTATTTTTCTTCAAGCCACTTAAATGAGGGTATATACACTTTATGTCATTTGTCATGTATACAAAGGAAGGTATATGGCTGACTATATACCAAAATATTAAAATACTTTCTTTCAGAATAGTGAGACATGTAGCAATTTTGTCTTTTTTAAAAATTCATTTTCTATGTAACCTTTTATGAGTAGATAAGCAGGGAATGCATTGTCGCATTAAAATGACTGTATTTTAACTGCCATTAGTGGATCAATGTTGCAAGTAAACAAAAACATTCTAAACTTGCTACCAATGCACTTTTAAATGTACACAGTACATGCACACATACATATAAATGCGTCTGTATGGATGTATGAAATTAGGGCTTGTATATCCACATCCCTACAGAAAACGGTATATACACCTGCCAAGGTTTGTTCGAATGTTCCCTCTTAGACTGCATCTACTTACTTCCATCTTAAGCATTTGTTGGGAAGACTAGGGATGTTGCAAGATGACGTCTTAAATTGTTGTCTAGGTAAATATTATACCATAAGATATATGGGGTCACATTCTGAACATCCATATTTAGTAAGAGACACAATTAAGACAATACAGACAAACCCCTCCCCCAAATATACATATGTATATTTTAAGAGATATTACCTATGGATCACTTTTTGGATTTGAATTGAATTACGGTAGCGATGTTAGTATGACATTCGCTCAAAAGATGGCGCTAATCAAGTGAACGCTGGAGTCACCAGGTGCCAGGCAGGGCTCACAAAGAAAATGGCAGAAGCACTGTTGTTGTTCGAGTAGGGCAAGACCATTCTGGAGTGGTATTTGGAATTCGAGAACGTTATGGAAGTACGATGACACTGGAGGTGTGAATATAAAACAGAACCTCCGACACACCTCACAATTGTGTGCATTTGCAATAAGTTTGGGAAACATGGTAGTGTGCGTGGTGTGCACAAGGGACAATCTAGGAGGCCTCACGGCATCCCTTAAGCAGTTGTTCACCTTGACCAGAAGTATGTGGACACTGATGGCAACCACTCGAGCACTCTTGTAATTGCAGAAGTCAAATGTACCTTGTATTTAGTGACAGGTATAATTGAGTACTGCAGTATTAATACAATGTCCTCCTTTAGTAAAATGTATATACATTTTTTTTTGGTATACTCTGTATATATATCTTGTGGAAAAACCAAGTTAGTGGAACATTATTTGGTAAAAGTAAATTATAACTGTAAAATAACTAACTTTTGAGAACCTATTGTTTTCCTGGTAAATTATTTAATTTAATTTTCACTGTCCAAGATAGGTATTTGTGTCTCTGTTTTATGGGCATGGAAACCAAACTCAGAGAGATTAAGTAACATACTCAAGATCACACAGCTAACATAGGCATCAGCCATTAGGATATGGTGGTAGTGGGATTTGAATCCAATTCTTGCTATAAATTGCATATTCTTCCTACTATTTACCAGGCCTCATAAGAGGACTCTGCATCAAACATTACTTTCCAGGATATATTACAATAAAGGAGAATTTGATGCAATCAATATTTATTGATTATAGAGACTATGTCCAGGTGTTCTTACAGAAACTCTCACTGAATTTTCATTTAAATACATCAAGCGTACTAATTTTTAATATATTATATTTGAATGCTATACGCATTTTAACATTCAAAGATTCTCTACACATAAAACAGGTGTTAGTAGTATATAGCTTCCACTGGAAATAAAAGTTATGACTTTCAATAAGGGAAAGTGAAATTAAGTCATAGTACTTGTAAGCTAAAAGTTCTCTGAGGTTGACTATTACAGCTACTGTACATTGCAAATGAAAAAAAAAATAATAAAATGAGATCCTGAGAGGGGACGTGTTTGGCTTGAGGTCACACAGCGTCTTAGCGGCATCATTCAGACTTGAATTTAGCTTTCCAGATTCCCTGTGCAAAACTCTTTCCAGTGCCCCGTCTCCAATGCTGATAACTGCTTAATTATTAGCTATAGTTGGCCTTGTTCCCAAAGAAACTTGAAACAACTTCAAAAGTACACACAGAACATGGATAAAATTCAAGTGAAGAAATCAGGATGTAGGGAAACTTTAAATAAGATGAATACAAAATACCTATAATAAATTCCTATGTATTTGCTTCACTGTCAGTCGGTGTGTTCATAGAAATAATGCAAAAAAAAAAAAAAAGGTTATTTTAAACCTACTTTTTAAAAGACAGAAAAACAATAAAGAAAATAAAAAATCTAACATTGTATAAAAGCGTTTTCATTGTCTGACACTGGCCGTTGTGTGACGCATTTCTTTCAGGTACAAGTTAGTCTTAAGACCTTTCTTCTCTTCGGTGGTCTTTTTCTGGCACGGGATTAAGGTTTACAGAAAACACAAATGCGGAAATTAATTGCTTCAAGTAAAGTGTAGTAATATAATTCATACCTATTAAATAAATAGCCAGTACAGAGAAGTTTACCATTTTGCAGCAGCCAAAATGAAATCTGCTTACCTCTGATTACAAAGCTGACATGCAAAACAGTCCAGGTGGTAAACATTGTCCTTGGCACGCATCACCATCTCAAAGGCAGGGATGAGCTTACTACAGGCAGCACAGTTTCCCGTTACACCAAAGAGCCTAGAACAAGAAATATTGTTTTCACCTAAAACAATAAACAATGGGTTTCTCTAATGCTTACAAGGAAATCTTGAGAGGATGAAGAGAGAAGAGACTCATGTACCCCAGAAAACTATCCATACACAATGCCTTACGATGGACACAAGTGGTTTTGATCCTAGGTGTGTGCATAAATATTCTTCTGTAATACACTCTCCGTTGACCTTCTGGGAAGAAAATCCTATCTTGTTTAAGAAGAAGGAGAAGAGAAATACATTAGGAAGCTTACATAACCGCACACAAACAGAAGTCATCGGGGTTAAATCAGAGCAAAAATTTTCTATGTCTTAGAATATACACTAAATAGAAAAGCAATGTACCTTTGATCTTAATGTCCTAGATGAAACTTTTCAGCTGGAACAAGAACCAACTAGTGAAAGGACTCAGTAGTTTTTGACATCTAGTTACTAAAAGGTTTGCCGTTGTTATTAAAAGCACATTTATGAACGAGCCATGTAAATAGCCGAAAACCACAGAGAGGCATGAACCTCATGGCACTATACCATAGTCCCAGTGGTGATTATGTTATTCAAGTAGCACATGAAAGTAACTGAGGCTGTAAACCATATATAGCTGGACTAGGAGTGAAAACATATTACACTATCAGAACCATCGGAACGGTCTAGGAGTTTTAAAAAATCTTATTTGTTGTAGATTCCTGAAAATCGTTACCGTGATGACCTAAGAAGTGGAAGAAAATGAGATGTCTCTGTCATGTCATCGTCGGAGGAAATAAAATATTTTATCCATTTGCACTGGCAATATCGAAACCAAGTTTCTTTACCGTCATTAACGGTGGTGAAGAATTAATATAAATAATAGTCTATGCGTAGTGGTTAATGCACTTTTTAACTAGGAAGCAAACTAGATGAAAAACACCACATCTGCCAGTTTCCTTTTTTCTCCAGCATCAGGCTGACAGGAGAAAAATATAATGGCTCTCATGGGAAAGAAGAAATTAAAAGCAGTTCTAAACTAATGAATTCAAAGGTGCTATGGAGAAAACTCATTTTGGTTATAAAAATGTACTTAAAAAAAAAAATCTCAGCCTTTATGTTACTGAATTTAAGGATGAGGCTCAAAGGTGCTGATGTCTCTCTTTCATTCCTTTCAGTATACTCCAAAGTACATTCTTTCTGAAGGCACGCATACACATTTTTGAGTTTATAACAATTTCCTCTTACTAAGCTAATGACAGCGGTTGGAAAAAGTTGTGAGAGTGGTTTCTCAGTGTCTGGCAAGATGGACAATAAATGGCGATGCTCCTGCTTTTGTTAGATGATCTCTTGAGGAACACAAGCACCTTGAGGGCAGAGACTGTGCATGCTTTTAAAGAGGTGGCTAGCATAGTCTGTGCACTCGATAACAAGTACGCAAGGTTTGTACTCAGCAAGATGAAATTCAGAATTGCCAGACACTTATCTTCCTTCAAGAATCGGAGAAACATTTTAATATGCTTATGGGGAGAAATGTAAACCACGTAACCTTTAGTGCTTCTCACTTTGCAATCCACATTTTGATAGATCATTTTTCTTGAAAAAGGGACTTCATTGAAAATGCGCTATCTCACATCTCCTCTGGCATCATTTAAAAACGAAACCATCACGAAGGAGAGCTTTCATCCTATTCATCTGTAAGCAGGATTTTTTAGTTCAAGCTACCATTTCACACCGGCTGTTCGGTGCACTTAACATGACCTGTTCAGGAGTCAGGTCACCTCCGGGTGCCATTTGTTTCTTCTGTTCTTTATTATTTTTGAGAAATGAGGACACTTAGAAGTTCTTTATTCCATGAATATAGATATACTTTGGATATAAAATCTGGCTAATACGAGATAAAGCCTTTTTTTAAAGAACTCCTCAGTTTGCTCATATCTAATAAACATACACACACAATGCCATTTTGAAATTCTGGACCTAGTTTCCCCCAATTTCAATTGCTCTTGCTAGCTGAGCATTTATCAGCTACCTGATTAGAATTTGTTTCCACACAAACCATTGATCATCAGCCTATTACTAGGCAAATGACAGTTAATTACCCACTACATTAACCACTGGGACCTGAGACCTGCTTCTGCTGCCATCAGTCAACATGATAAATGTGGCAAGTTCAGTAATGCATGGCCAGCCCTGAGCTGCCTGCTATACTGTGAACAACCCTCAATCTCACTTCCAGGCCCAGGAAAATCTATGGCAATCTGCATAATTACAAGCTCTGGGTTAATAACAGACAAATGATTTGTTGCATCTAAACAAAGTCCTTGGAATGGTCCCGGTCTCTGGTGGCTGCCCGCACGGCGCATTGCCACTAGTGTACTTTCCACCACACCGTGCACAAAACAGTTCTCGGACGTGAGAGCCTTCCAATTTGTTGCCCTCCAATTTATGGATTCTGCATATGTGATTTTTAATCATTAAAGGACTCTTGAAGCAATATTATCTTAATTATTCTCTGCTGTAACCAGGGAATTAGGCTTCAGATAAAATTTTCTTCTTCCACGCACTTTCCCTGCCTCGCTGGAGGCTCCATCAGTTTCCATCTACACCTGGACTCTGAAATCCTAATGATGAATTATTGCCCCTTTTCCTAAGAGGGCGAACCTTACAAGGGAACATTTTACTGAACTGTCAGCTCACAGACTGAGTGCGGAGATGCGGAAATCTGATCTAATTTACTGCAAAACGATGCATTTGTTAGACTTTTTCCTCAGTTTTGTCCAAGGATCAAGAGATCATTCTGTAGTTACCGTCACAGTCTCCTTTTCTCCCAGGGGGCCAAATTCAAGATACTCTGGGAGAGGAAACAATGTACTATTTTACCAAATGGGGTTTCCCAAAATGTACAAGATTATCCTTCAGTTTCCAACCATGACGTTTGGAGTCTCAGGTGAAAAGAATTTTAATATATATCAATTAAGCTTAAGGCATCCATCGTCCTCATTTGTAACATTTTTTCACATGCGTCTGAGAAATATTCAGGAGGAGTCTCTTAATTATCTAACTCATCTATTCATAATCCTAAAAATTCTTATAGCCTCTTCCCCTAACTCATTTATAAGATGGATCCACTTTTCCATTTAAGATCTCTGTAAACTCATCTCTAGGGCTGCACAGAACTGTCGTAAGGGTAAGAGGGCCTAAGAGCTCTTAGCACAACACTGAGCCAGACAAAGCTTTACTCAAAAAAGAAAGTCATTTGGAAATTTTGACTTAAATTAATCATAGCATACCAGCTCATAAATTTATGGTAAGGAAAAACATAAGCTTACTGATCTATTTTTCTTATTGTAATGTGTGTCTTATAGATTATTAAGGCACGGCATGTGGTAATTTGCTAACTTGGGGGCTTGAATGTTCCATATCACTTATGCTCATGCTAGACCTGTTGACAATATGACCTTTATTATGTTTCTGACACACTTCCCAACATAGACTTAAAATATAAAAGATGACAAGTGCCATCAACACAGTATCAGCCCATATTACTATTTTCAGGAATCCAGAAGGATGTCTCTGGCCGTTTTCCATTCACTACCTCAGACTGACAATCTAAAAACAGACATGAACCTGTAGTCCCAGCTACTCGGGAGGCTGAGGCAAGAGAATCGCCTAAGCTCAAGAGCGGGAGGTTGCTGTGAGCTGTGACACCATAGCACTCTACCAACGGCGACAAAGTGAGACTCTCTCTCTCTAAAAAGCAAACAAACAAACACAGACATAAAGATGAAAACCAAACAACTTCCTTATGGGTAAAACCCCAGCCTATCTGCACACTGTTATCACATTTCTCATATTGTAGTGAGTAGGCACAGAGGAATATTTAATAATTTTTGTATATAGGTGGCAAATTCAAGAACCAAGACAATACAAGTTGATCTTTTTTAAAGGCACCCAGACAGATAAGTTTGCATTTTCACTAATGTTCAACAATTGGCAACATAATTGGCAATCAGGTGAACTCTGTACGGTTTAGTGTGTGTCCGTTTCTAAAGTTCCTAAGGTTTGGGGGAAGAGAAAAACTCAAGACATACGATCATTTCACACCACAGTAATGAATATGATTTACAACAGGCAGCAGGGAAATGATCATTCATTGTATTAGTGCCTTTTATTCCACAGCACTAGATGTTTCTATAGATTTTTTTATTTTTTATTTTTTTGACGAGGCCAGGGGCTCAAGTCACTAAATCAAATTCCTCCAAGCTACGGAAAACACAGCATTTGACTTTAATTTATTATTTGAGGAAAATGCAGGAATAAATTCCATTAGGGTAAAGCTTAATTCTGAACAAAAATCAGATTTTCTTTCATTGTGGCCTGACCATCCTCGTTTAGTGACGTGAATATGTACACATTTAATAATAAATACTTTCTAAAATATTGAGGAGAAGACCAGTTGAGTAATCTCATCTACAACGTAATCTCACTGCAAAAGAACTAGAGATGAATAGAGAAAAGAAAGTTTGGCTTTCTGAGGACATGAAATTGTGATCAATTGAAAAGACCTTTTGGCTGTTAAATGCTGAGGTTTTATTGAATATGCTATGTGGGAAGGAATGCAACATTTTTGCAGATTGAGAAGGGCAGCTGCTCTTTTGTCTGTTACAAAAATATTTCCATCTCTTTTCCTATTTCACCTTTTTAAAGGAAGGGAGGTAGTGGTAGAAAATGAGAACACTTTACACATTCCATTCTTTTGTTTTAAACTTAAACACTCACCCAGGGCAAGGGTGAAGAGAGCTGAACCCACTGCTCTCTCTCTATGAGTTTGTCACATGTGCTCCCAGTCATAGAGATAAATGTATGATGGGGTTAAAGAATGATAATTCTGTTTGTTGCATTTAGGCTTACCAAGCCTTTTTATAGACAATTTTTAATTTTCATAGAGTTACGATTAAAAAAGCCCCCAAAGGACCATTTATTATATACTATTGGTGGGACTGTAAACTAGTATCACTATTA